CCTGTTTAAAAAAACCCTGCTCCTTAAAAAAAAAAGGAAGCCACAGCCTAATAACCTCTCCCCTTCCCCCCCCCCAGAAGACTATAAAATTCATGAGGGCAGAGCATGCCATCTTAATTGCAAGATTATGTCCAGGAACAAAATCAAAAGATGACCACAACTAACTTACCAGTATTATGCCTGAATTACAGTAGACCAGGACTAAGTACCCATCGATTTTAAGATTGCTGAATTCAACCCCAAGGCAGAAAAGCTGAAGGTGTCTTACCTGAAAGAAATAGGATTTCTATCCTCCAAACCTTTAACAACAACTCCTGTAGCTCCACCGGATCTAACCGCAAAAACCTATAAAAAAGTTGTGAATGTATTTGTAGCTTATTCCAATTCATAACCTTAACATGCTGTCTTTTCTATAAGCCATACTTCTAAATTTTTTACTAGACACCATTTTTGTTCTTACACAGACCTGTCAGTTCACACTGAGATTCAGTATATAATAATCCTTTCTCTGGAGCTCCAAGCTTACTTAGAGTTGGTGGGTTTCCAGTGGTACTGTAACAGTCTTGGAGGCATATTCTGAACTACTGAATATGTTAAAACAGTAAAAGTCTGCATAAGCTTTTCTTTTTTTTTTTTTTTTTTACTATATTAATATTTTCCTAAGTCAGGTACTAGTCAAAGTATCTGAGACATCAGGACATTGTTTAAAACAAACAGGAAACCAGCCTGGGGACTGGGAAGAAAGGCAACTCAACGACCCAGAAGCTTGATCTTGTCCAAACATGTTATTAGACAGAAACAGTTTAATGGTAATATGTGGTTTGGCATGTACCTAGTAAGTTTCAGCCAACTTGCACTAACAAAGAATTCCTATAGCACAACTGCACATATGCATGTATAAAAGCTGTTACAGCTATACTGCTTATTGAGCTGGAATAAGAAAACATTGGGGGAAAAAAAATCCATGCTCTTACAAAGTTTAAACTATCTTAGAAAAAGAAAGGGAGTGCCTTATTTGTACTTGTTGTATGTGTAGAATCACCAGACACACTGATCAGGTCTCGAAAAAACAGATATATGATACGCTGGAGGGAAGGGATGCCATCCA